CCCCCGCGCCGCGCCCGGCCGCCGCCGCCGCGCCGCGCTCAGCCCGCCCTGTCCCCCGCAGGGCTCTCGGTGCTGCGGGTGGCGTACGGGGACGTGTCCCAGCTCGGAGTCTTCTGCACGGACCCCATCCCCAAAGGAGTCCGCTTCGGCCCTTTCCAAGGCAAAGTGGTCAACACCAGCGAGATCAAGACTTACGACGACAACTCGCTGATGTGGGAGGTAGCGGAGGCGCCGCCCGGCTCCCCCTGCACCCCCTGAACGGGGCCCGGGCGAGGGTCTAGTTTCGGCCGCCCCTGTCCCCTGGCCTGCGAGGGGGGCTGGGCCCAGGGTGGGTGGTGGGACTGGTGCGAGCGGGACGGGTGCGGGAAGGGTCGGGCCAACGCGATCGGTTCTCCCCGCTCCCCAGATCTTTGAATACGGCCGCCTGAGCCACTTCATAGACGGGAAGGGAGCCTCTGGCAACTGGATGTCCCTGGTGAACTGCGCCCGCTTCCCCGAGGAGCAAAACCTGACGGCTATCCAGTGCCAGGGACAAATCTTCTACGAGAGCTGCAAGGAAATCTTGCCGAAGCAGGAGCTGCTGGTGTGGTACGGCGATTGCTACGTGCAGTTCCTGGGCATCCCCATCAGCCTGAAGGGCATGCCGGAGGGCAAGAGACCCCCGCAGCACCCCGAAGGTGAGCCTGCCGGCGACCCCTCCAAGGGCACTGCCTCTTACTCCCGCGGACCCCTGTCTGGCCGGGACTAGATTCGCCATGAGGGAGGGAGAGGAGCTCGGGCGGCACCTTTTCCCGGCCGTGTTTTACTTTGAACGCTTCCCGGTCCCTGCGGTGAGCCGGTGCCGGGGTAAAACGTCTGGCGGTGCTGGGCTGGGCTTGCCTCGGCTCCGCAGAGCCGTGGTGCGAGGGGGGGGTGTCCCGTTTGGGGAGGAGAGGGGCTTGGGGGCGCGTTCCTGTTTTGGTTCTGTTTCCTCTTACGATTGCACGTACCTGACTTCTTGACATTTTTCATGCAGTTAACACTCTCGGTAAATGGGGCAGGCTGAAGTCGTTCCGATCCGATAATGCTGATGCTGCTTGCAGAGGAAATGCCAAATGCAATTACTCTGTTCTGCTTATAATGCGCAGAAAGTATGCCGTCCTTATAAGCAAAACTTCTGTATGGAGAAAAGAGATTTGTGCCAATGCAGGGAAAGCTGGAGCGGGTGTGGGATGGGAACGGCTGGGTGCAGCAGTAAGGGAGAGAAGCAAATTGGCATGGAAATTTGGCGTGGTCGTTTTTGTAGCTGTTGTCTTAAGGTGCCTCGTTCAGACAGTTGGTAAATCGTTCATTTCATTTTAAGGCTTGAGCCAAAGTTACTTTTATTAAAGGCAGAAAAGGATGTGTAAGCGTTGAAAAATTTCCTGTGTTGTTCCTAAATTCAGCGGTTAAGAACAGCTTGAAATACAAAAGAAAACCAAATAAACGTGTTTCTGTTCGATAGTATTTTGGAAACGCTAGAAAAGACGTGCAAATTTATGTTTCTTTTTGGGGTGGAGGTAAAATTTACAGGCAATGTTGATAAGAAACACCTGGCAATGTTTCCGTGCGGGGAGACGCTTTAATGTGGGACTCTGCGCTGGTTTTTCACATATTCGCTCGCTGTTTATGGAGATGCAAGGATGAAATCCTGTCTTTGCTGAAGTCAGTAGCTAAACCCAATGATTTGATGAGGCTGTGGACTCTAGTTTGTTCCCCTCCGTTAGAAGGGCAAGTGGAGCGGTGCGAACGCTTAGGAGATCCGGCGTGTATTTGGTTAATGATATCGCCAGAATCCATTTACCTACCGTTCTGACCCTCCCGGAGGCTTAAAATTCCCAGCTGGGTACCAGCTCTGACAAGGCAGCAGATTGGAGATGAGCCCCTTTTGCCGTGGTGTAACGGGGAGGTGGCACTTTCCCTTCTGCTGTACAGAAGCCGGGGAGAGCTTTAAGTGTGAGCACTGCGGCAAGGTTTTTGCCTACAAGTACTACCGGGACAAGCACCTCAAGTACACCCGCTGCGTGGACCAGGGGAACCGCAAATTTCCTTGTCACCTTTGTAACCGATCCTTTGAAAAAAGAGACAGGCTGAGGATCCATATTCTCCACGTTCACGAAAAGCATAGACCTCACAAGGTGAGCCTGCTCCCGGGTGTCTCTGCAGTTACCAGCTTTGCGGGGGCGGGGGGGGGGGGGGGGGCCAATGAGAGGGGGGTTTTTTTGG